CTGGATCTGGGGGTACTGAGTCGGGAGCTGCTGAGCCTGAGGGTGCTGAGCTGGGAGCTGCTGAGCCTGGGGGTGCTGCGTCTGGAGCTGCTGAGCCTGGGGTTTCTCCTGCTGCTGCGTCTCGCCGGGAGCCCCTCTCTCCACAGGAGCTGCGCGAGTGGTTCGCTCGCCGCTGGAGGCATGCTGCTGAGTCTGGAGGTGCTGCTGGAGCTGGAGCTGGAGCTTCTTCGACCGTCGAGGGTGCGGGTGCTGCCGGTCCCGGAGCTGCTGGACCTGCGGGTCCTCCTGGAGCTGGAGCTGCTGAGGGCGTTGGTGCTGAGCCTACTGCTGTTGGTCCTGCCGCTGGAGGTGTGGGTGGCGCTGGTGCTGTCGCTGAGGGTGCTGGTGCTGTCCCTGCTGAGTCTGGAGCTGCCGCGCGGCCTCGGCCGTACTTCGTTCCGCTCCTACAGCAGGTTCTTGGTCTTTCTCCTCCAGTAGAGGGTCCACCGCCTGTCCAGTCGCAGTCCCTGCTGGAGCCTTCCTCTCCACTGCCTGCTCCCTCTCCTTACACTGGTCCTACTGGAGGTCTTGCTGAGCGTCGTGAGCCTGCGTCTCGTCCCACGTCGCCTGTTCGTGCTGCTCGCGCTAGTGGTCGCAGTTCGCGTCAGCGTCCTCCTCCTGTCCCTGGCACGCACCGGATGTCTTTGCGTCCGTCCACTGCTCCTCTGCGTGCCCCTTTGCCTTCTCCTCCTGAGTCCTCTCTTCCTGCGCTTGCCGACCCTGAGTCGGACTCTCTTCGTGCTGCCAGTCCTACTGTCACGCGTCTGCTTGCTACTGTCGTCACTGACCCCTCTTTTGAGTCCACTGCTGCGTCTGCACTGGTCGCTGAGCTCGTCGACTTTGCTGCTCACTGTCGTCTCGACTACGCTGCTAGTCTTGTTGCTGAGTCTGCGTCTGTCTGTCCTCCGTCCGTCGGGGGTGAGTGTGCTCTTGGCACGGACGTCCTAGAGGACAGGCAGGAGGAGTAACAGTGTCTAGCGGCTGCTTCACCTCATCTCGCGTCTGTACTGCTTGCCCCTAAGGGAGACCCGGATGCACTAGACATCCCGACTCCGCGTTCTTACGCGGAGGCCGTAGAGGGTCCCTACTCCTCTCAGTGGCAGGCAGCTATGGATGCGGAGATGGCTTCCTGGAAGTCCACAGGCACCTACGTTGACGCGGTTCCCCCTCCTGGGGCGAACATCGTCAGTGGCATGTAGATCTTCAGGGTGAAGCGGCCGCCGGGCTCTCCACCTGTCTTCAAGGCACGGTACGTTGCTCGTGGCTTCAGTCAGCGGCAGGGAGTTGACTACTTTCAGACCTTCTCTCCCACCCCGAAGATGACCACTCTTCGGGTGCTGCTGCACATAGCCGCTCAGCGAGACTACGAGCTTCACTCTCTCGACTTCAGCACTGCGTTCTTGCAGGGTAGCCTGCACGAGGAGATCTGGCTTCGCCGTCCACCTGGCTTCACTGGGACTTTCCCTCCTGGCACCCAGTGGAGCCTCCGACGGCCAGTCTACGGTCTCCGTCAGGCACCGCGTGAGTGGCACGACACACTGAGGACTACGCTTGCGGCTCTTGGGTTTGCTCCTTCTACTGCTGACCCGTCGCTGTTTCTTCGCACCGACACTTCCCTGCCGCCGTTCTACATCCTCGTGTACGTCGACGACTTGGTCTTTGCCACAGCGGACACTGCAGGACTCGCCTACGTGAAGTCCGAGCTGCTGAAGAGACACACGTGCACAGACCTGGGTGAACTGCGCAGCTACCTTGGCTTGCAGATCACTCGGGACAGAGCACGCCGCACCATTACCTTGACTCAGTCACACATGGTGCAGCAGGTCCTTCAGCGCTTCGGCTTCACGTACTCCTCGCCTCAGGCCACTCCTCTGCCTACTCGCCACTCACTCTCAGCTCTGCCTTCGGATGAGTCCGTAGAGTCGAGTGGTCCGTATGCAGAGCTTGTTGGCTACCTCATGTACCTGATGACCTGCACACGACCTGACCTTGCATACCCTCTGAGCATTCTTGCTCGCTATGTTGCTCCTGGGAGACACAGACCAGAGCACATGGCTGCAGCGAAGAGGGTATTGCGCTACCTGTGCAGCACGTCGGGCATGGGGCTAGTGCTTGGAGGGCGGAGTCCAGTGGTCCTTACCGGCCACGCGGACGCTTCTTGGGCTGACGACCAGGCTACGCAGCGGTCGTCACAGGGTTACACCTTCAGCCTTGGTTCCGGCTCTGTCTCGTGGCGGTCTACTCGCTCGTCTTCGGTTCTCGGCTCCAGTTGTGAGGCTGAGATCTACGCCGGGGCCATGGCTGCACAGGAGCTTCGCTGGCTCACCTACCTGCTGACTGACCTTGGAGAGCCGCCTCGTTCTCCTCCAGTGCTGTACGTAGACAACAAGGCCATGCTGGCCTTGTGTCGAGAGCAGCGCTTGGAGCACAGAACGAAGCACATTGCTCTCCGCTACTTCCTTGCTCGTGAGCTGCAGCAGCGTGGTCAGTTGCGACTTGCGTACGTGGCCTCTGAGGCCAACACTGCTGATGTGTTCACCAAGGCACTCGCGCCTTGTGACCATCAGCGCTTTTGCACCCAGCTGGGTCTTGTGCCTGTCTTGCCTCACTTGCTCTCCTCTTGACTTCACTTGTACTGTTACATATATATATGTCTGCTCTTGTTTGTCTAGTTTTATATATATGTCTGTACTCCTGCATGTGAACTGGCCTCTGGCCCTGCTGTTGTGCTCGGACTGTGTGGTGACGTTGTGATCCACCCTGAGCTTGCTCTGCTTTGCTTTACCTGACTGGTCTTGTGACCCCTTGTTCTCCCCCACTTTGCCTATGGGGGTGTGTCAGATTTATATGACATAGTTTCTGTAGGCTATAGTGGGGTAGCACATATGGGGTACAGGGTTTCTAGGGTTGTATTTGTACCCAACCTTCCATAGTCATTTCATTCCTGTTTTCCTTGTTTCACATTTGACACCCTAGCTGATGCACATCCTTCTCTAGCGATATGAGAGGTGGCGGCGGGTGAGCCATCGAGGCGACGAATCATAATCGTTGCCGTGTTGCACAGAGAAGTGCTCTGATTGGTGCTTTGCTGGTGCATGAACCAGAATCTTCACAAGTTGGTGCTTCGCTGGCGCACCAGCAGGGAAGTGCTCTGCTCGCTGCCTCCCTGGAGCACCACTACCCAGTTTCTCGCACCCCAGACTTCAGCTCTCCCTATCGAGGGCAGTTCATTTTCATCGCCGATCTCTTGGTTTCTGCCGACATCACCAGGGCCAGCGCCAGCGCTAGTCGCAGCAGCAGCCGTAGTGACTAGTGCACATTTCTTTTTTCGCGCTCACCTTGTGCATACCTTCGACTCTTTTTTTCGTCTCACTCGTACTCGCTACTACCTTCGTTGCAGGGAATCATCCGTCATTTGGAAGTCGTGATTATTAGGTAAGGCTTTGCACTACCGTGATGTTTATTTAATTGTCTCGCAATGCTGCACGGTTTCCTGCCTTCTCCTTGTACTTAATGTCCCCTCGTGACTTGCGTTGTGTATCTTCCCTTAACTTCACAGGGAAAAAATGACATCTCATTGGCGTCTCATCCTGTGGTTAGTCGAGTTTTGCTAATCGTGTATTTTTTTGCAGGTTGTGTATTACGAGCGCTTCCGCACCATTGATGGCTGCTGCCTTTTGTGGTTGCTAGTCACAACGTGATTTCTGACTCTGACCCAGATGCTTTGAATCGACGCCAAGCTGAGTTAATTGGCAGTAACTCCTGTGGTGGTCGTCTTTTCTCTTATCGTATGTTTGCAGGTCGTGATTTATGTACGCTTCGTATCCCGTGCAGGATTGTGCAGGAGTGCTGTTTTTTCTTTGTGCAGGATTTATGCTTGGTCGTTACTACTGCTAAGTTGTGGAATGTATTTAATCCCATGGTTGAACGTCACTATTACCCAATTTGTCATGTCATGCCGTGTATGTACATTAACATATTATATCCATTAAAATTTTTACACGGTTAATCAATGATGTTTTCAGTTTTTTTGAACCAATTATGGAATGCAGAAATCAGTAGCACCGAGAGTAGTTTTCTATTTTATATCCGATCACGATTCCCGATTCGACAAAACAAAGCATACTCTAACAGTTACATGTGGTAATATGTTTTACTGTAGTTCGGCCTCGCCCGCGAAGAATGTCGAGTCACTCTATGACGAACAGTCACACTTCGATTTCTTCACAAATGTTTTGCATCAACCCGAAACTCTTGACCGGAGAAAAAAAATGTACGGAACCTTTTTCCGCAATTGGCTGTGTACAGTACTTGGGCGCTGCAAGGAAATGGCGAGTTTGATTTTGGAGGGAAACCAGGGGTTGGGAATGATGCCGGATGGGGTGTCGAAATCAACCTGCAAGTAACACGCTGTAAGTGTGTAATGCAACACGCCAATCCCAGGCATCGCGAAAAATTCCCCAGCGATGCCTATCAAACATCAAGCCACTGGATGGCATGCTGTTTGACACACAGGTATAGGTTCCGATGTAGCCTCGACGCCGGTCGCGTCGCCACACCGCCCCACACTGCCTCCTCACGCCACTGTGAACGCGCTCGCCGCTCCAACACTGGTGTTTAGCGTGCTTTCGCACGATCGCATTCGGCGCCCGCTCGCTCACCAGCCGCCGCAGTCGCATGTGAGATCGCGACAGCCGCCTCACCAGCTCCCCCTTCCGCCGCCATCTCCCCTTGTCGCCCGCCCATCTCCCCTTCCCGCCCGCCCATCTCCCCTTGTCGCCCGCCCATCTCCCCTTCCCGTCCGCCCATCTCCCCTTCACGCCTCCCCATCTCCCCTTCACACCTCCCCAACAGGGTTTGCCTTTCGTCGCCATCTCCCCTTCCCCCTTCCCCTCCCCAAACTCCCCTGCGCGCCTTCCGATCTCCCCTACCAGCCTCGGCTTTTCCCCTGCCTGCCACTGCTACCCCGCCTCCCCATCTCCCCTTTCCCGCCTACCCATCTCCCCTTTCCCGCCTCCCCATCTCCCCTTTCCCGCCTCCCCATCTCCCCTTTCCCTCCCCCCCATCTCCCCTTTCCCGCCCCGCCATCTCCCCTTTCCTGCCCCGCCATCTCCCCTTTCCCGCCCCCCAATCTCCCCTTTCCCGCCTCCCCATCTCCCCTTTCCCGCCCCCCCATCTCCCCTTTCCCGCCCCCCCATCTCCTCTTTCCCGCCCCCCCATCTCCTCTTTCCCGCCCCCCATCTCTCCTTTCCCGCCCCCCCATCTCCCCTTTCCCGCCCCCCCAATTCCCCTTTCCCGCCCCCCCATCTCCCCTTTCCCGCCCCCCCATCTCCCCTTTCCCGCCCCCCTATCTCCCCTTTCCCGCCCCCCCATCTCCCCTTTCCCGCCCCCCCATCTCCCCTTTCCCGCCCTCCCGTCTCCCCTTTCCCGCCCCCCCATCTCCCCTTTCCCGCCCCCCCATCTCCCCTTTCCCGCCCCCCCATCTCCCCTTTCCCGCCCCCCATCTCCCCTTTCCCGCCCCCCCATCTCCCCTTTCCCGCCCCCCCATCTCCCCTTTCCCGCCCCCCCATCTCCCCTTTCCCGCCCCCCCATCTCCCCTTTCCCGCCCCCCATCTCCCCTTTCCCGCCTCCCCACCTCCCCCTCCCCGCCTCCCCACCTCCGCATTTCCCCGCCTCCCCACCTCCCCACCTCCCCGCCTCCCCACCTCCCCACCTCCCCACCTCCCCATCTCCCCATCTCCCCATCCCACCTCCCCACCTCCCCACCTCCCCATCTCCCCATCTCCCCATCTTCCCATCCCACCTCCCCACCTCCCAACCTCCCCTTTCTTCCTTGCGATCTAACTTTCGTGCCTCCCTGTCTTCCTTTCTATCATAAGCACACCAGTTCTCCTGCCAAGCTCCCCGTCTCCGCCTGCCTCCGTGTATCCCCCTCCCTGCCTTCTAATGTTTCCCGTAAATGCCTCCCCATCTCCATGTCAGTTCTCCCCGTCACCTTTGCATGCCACCCCGTCTCCCTCTTCACCAGCCCCATCTCCCTTTTCCTGCCTTTCCCTTTCCTTCTAGCCTTCTCATTCCCCCTGCCTGCCTCCCTATCTCTCCTTCCCACCTCCCATCTCCCCATTTCTCTCAACCTTCCTCGCGATTGCCTACCATGCCATGTCCCTCCCCCGCCTTCCAGTCGCGCGTCCTTGTATAGCCGGTCGCTACGCCGCCGCTACAAGCGCTGCTCAGGGGGGGCGTGGACAAGTGGTGTAGGGGAGCGACGGCGTGTACTGGACTGGACTGGACATCGCCAGCATAGCAGGCCACAAATAGAAGCCAGGCTCCCCCTGTACTGTGAGTCGTCGCACATCGTGTGCCCCTCCCCTCCCCTCCCCTCCCCTCCCCTAAGCATGGGCATTTGACCCGGACGGGTCGGGTCAGGAATGCTGAGAAGGCCGACCCGCCCGGGTCGGTTCGGGAAAACCCGGACGGGTCGGGTCGACCCGTGACCCGTCACTGTGATTTAGTGACGGGTTTTTGCGACCCGCCGGGTCGGGTTGACCCGTCCCGTCCGGGTCGCGTATCCAGTCAAATGACAGGGTTACCCGACCCGTTTTCGGATTAGGGTAGGGGTTGAACATCGGTTGGTTTTTTAGGTTTTTTTTCCCTCGACATTCTGATCTAGTCGCTAGACTAGATCAAGGCTAGTACTTCTGCGCTGCAGCTAGGGAGCCTCATACAGTCTTCACTCTTCAATGTTAGCACTATTTAAACTGCATATTATCTTCAGGTTAGGGTTTGGCGCTCCGACCCGACCCTGCTGCTATGTAGCATATTTTGATCCGACCCGACCCGACCCGTGGTGTAACCGACCCGGTAACGGGTCACAAATACCCGTTCCCACGGGGCGGGTCGGGTCGGGTCACCAAAACAGAGTCAAACCCGACCCGCTAACCCGACCCGACCCGACCCGTTAAGCTAACGGGTTGCCCTCAACGGGACGGGTCGGGCCGGGTCGGGTCAAATGCCCATGCTTACCCTCCCCTTTTACAATGCCTGCCCAGCACTTTCAGCGTTTCCCTTCCCATGCTTCCCTTCCCATGCTCCCCTTCCCATGCTCCCCTTCCCATGCTCCCCTTCCCATGCTCCCCTTCCCTTCCAGCCCTTTCTGTCCGGCCCTACCCATATTGCCCTTTCCGTCCGGCCCTACCCATATTGCCCTTTCCGTCCGGCCCTACCCATATTGCCCTTTCCGTCCGGCCATTGCCCTTTCCGTCCGGCCTTACCCATATTGCCCTTTCCGTCCGGCCCTACCCATATTGCCCTTTCCTTCCGGCCCTACCCATATTGCCCTTTCCTTCCGGCCCTACCCATATTGCCCTTTCCTTCCGGCCCTACCCATGTTGCCCTTTCCGTCCGGCCCTACCCATATTGCCCTTTCCGTCCGGCCCTACCCATATTGCCCTTTCCGTCCGGCCCTACCCATATTGCCCTTCCGTCCGGCCCTACCCATATTGTCCTTTCCGTCCGGCCATTGCCCTTTCCGTCCGGCCTTACCCATATTGCCCTTTCCGTCCGGCCCTACCCATATTGCCCTTTCCTTCCGGACCTACCCATATTGCCCTTTCCTTCCGGCCCTACCCATATTGCCCTTTCCTTCCGGCCCTACCCATGTTGCCCTTTCCGTCCGGCCCTACCCATATTGCCCTTTGCCTCCAGCCCTCCCGTTGCTTCCCTTTCCTTCCAGCCCCACACGTTGTGGCCTTGTCTTCCTGCCATTCCCATCGCTTACTGCCCTTCACTTCTTGCCCTTTCCTTCCCTCTCGTGCCTTCCCTGCCCTGTCCTTCCCTGCCCTGTCCTTCCCTGCCCTGTCCTTCCCTGCCCTGTCCTTCCCTGTCCTGTCCTTCCCTGTCCTGTCCTTCCCTGCCCTGTCCTTCCCTGTCCTGTCCTTCCCTGCCCTGTCCTTCCCTGCCCTGTCCTTCCCTGTCCTGTCCTTCCCTGTCCTGTCCTTCCCTGCCCTGTCCTTCCCTGTCCTGTCCTTCCCTGCCCTGTCCTTCCCTGTCCTGTCCTTCCCTGCCCTGTCCTTCCCTGCCCTGTCCTTCCCTGTCCTGTCCTTCCCTGCCCTGTCCTTCCCTGTCCTGTCCTTCCCTGCCCTGTCCTTCCCTGCCCTGTCCTTCCCTGCCCTGTCCTTCCCTGCCCTGTCCTTCCCTGTCCTGTCCTTCCCTGCCCTGTCCTTCCCTGCCCTGTCCTTCCCTGCCCTGTCCTTCCCTGCCCTGTCCTTCCCTGCCCTGTCCTTCCCTGCCCTGTCCTTCCCTGTCCTGTCCTTCCCTGCCCTGTCCTTCCTTGCCCTGTCCTTCCCTGCCCTGTCCTTCCCTGTCCTGTCCTTCCCTGCCCTGTCCTTCCCTGCCCTGTCCTTCCCTGCCCTGTCCTTCCCTGTCCTGTCCTTCCCTGCCCTGTCCTTCCCTGTCCTGTCCTTCCCTGCCCTGTCCTTCCCTGCCCTGTCCTTCCCTGCCCTGTCCTTCCCTGCCCTGTCCTTCCCTGCCCTGTCCTTCCCTGCCCTGTCCTTCCCTGTCCTGTCCTTCCCTGCCCTGTCCTTCCCTGTCCTGTCCTTCCCTGCCCTGTCCTTCCCTGCCCTGTCCTTCCCTGCCCTGTCCTTCCCTGCCCTGTCCTTCCCTGTCCTGTCCTTCCCTGCCCTGTCCTTCCCTGTCCTGTCCTTCCCTGCCCTGTCCTTCCCTGTCCTGTCCTTCCCTGTCCTGTCCTTCCCTGCCCTGTCCTTCCCTGCCCTGTCCTTCCCTGCCCTGTCCTTCCCTGTCCTGTCCTTCCCTGCCCTGTCCTTCCCTCTCGTGCCTTCCCTGTCCTGTCCTTCCCTGCCCTGTCCTTCCCTGCCCTGTCCTTCCCTGCCCTGTCCTTCCCTGCCCTGTCCTTCCCTGCCCTGTCCTTCCCTGCCCTGTCCTTCCCTGCATCTGCCCTTCCCCACGTGCCCGCCCCATCCTATCCTTCCCATCATGCCATCCCCACCGCCTCCGCATCTCCCCTTCCTGCTCCCCTATCTCGCTTGCTCCACTGTTTTCTGTGATTATACCATGGTTCTTCTCATTCCCTACTTTCACTCTCACTTTCACTGTCTATCCAACGACGGATGATTGCATGGTGTACCCGAATTCGTACGTGCTTATGTTATAAACCCCCCAGCGACTGTTAGAGTGCCTTTTCCCTAGTCCTGTAGTAAGTTTCTTGTCAGCACCGATTCCAGAGTTTCCCTTGAGCTTTACGTGTGGTTGCTGCTGTCTGTGCATTACGCTCTAGACATTCATGACTGGCTGCATATTCCGATCCAAGCACTGTGTGAGGGGAGCTTCGTTGTTTTGTGACACCACACCCTAACAACCTTCACCACAGCGCCCACAACCCCCCTTGAAAGCTCTCCTGAAGCACCTTAGCTTCAAAACTTTGCCCATTCGTCTCGCCAAGTTGCTTTGTTTTCACTGAGGCGAAATCGTTTTGCACACTGACAAACTCAAACCTTACTGCCAAATGTATCTTGTCGCTATAAGTGCCTTTCATTTCATCCCTCTCAACACCGAGTGCATTGCCTAATGCGCAAGCCTGTGCAATCCGCCCGTGCTTCTTGGAACTGTGATGGGATTCCTAACTTTTAAACTCCTTCCGCCAAGGAGAGATTGGCAGAGGTAGAAGTGGGTGTTATCCACTTTGAACGTCTTGGAACTTCCGTTGTTGTTTCATCCGAAAAAACTCCGAATCCGAATTCACTGCCTCCTCGTCCCCGTGCCCCTTCCAGACACTTTCAAAGCGTCTCAACCTTCAAGACGAGTCGGGGTGGGGTGGGGTGGGGATCCATGGCTCCTCGTTCCCGTCCTACTAGAAGCCGTGCTCCTTCCAAGCGGCACCACGTCGATCGCGTCCACTTAGACGGCCACGAATTCTCCATCGGCGATTGCGTCTACGTCAAGATCAACGGCTGCGATTTGTCCGATGGAGCCCCCGAGGACGCTGCCGACAGCTCGGATTCAGACGAATCTTATGCGAGCGAAGAGGCATGCGAGATCTGCGGGAAAGTTGATGGTGCGGGAGAAGGGGAGAGGCACGAGGATGGGGAGGGGGAGGGGGAGGGGGAGGGGGAGGGGGAGGGGGAGGGGGAGGGGGAGGGGGAGGGGGAGGGGGAGGGGGAGGGGGAGGGGGAGGGGGAGGGGGAGGTGATGGTGGAGTGCGACGGCTGCCTTGGTGGTTTCCACCTCGGCTGCCTCGAGCCGCCCCTTGTGGAGATTCCAGAAGGCGATTGGTTCTGCCCGGCTTGTGCCGGAGGAGCGGGGGGAGGGGGGAGCGGAAGCAAAAGGGGAAAGTCGGAGAAAGCGGGGAAGGCGGGGACGGTGGGGAATGTGGGGAAAGGGGGGAAGGCGGGGGAGGGGGGGGAGAAGCAGAAGAGGCGGCGAACGGCGCGGGAGCGAGTGTTCGATGGGGAGATTGCGATTGGTCGAATCGAGAGGATCTGGCACGTGGATGAATCAAAGGAACGCGGTAGCCGGAGGGATGAGAAGGAGGAGGGAGTGGGGGGGAAGAAAGGGGACGAGGAGGGGGAAGGGGAAGGGGAAGGGGAAGGGGAGGGGGAGGCGGAGGCGGAGGGGGGTGAGAGTGGGTGGTGGTGCAAGGTGAGGTGGTATGTGTTGCCGGAGGAGACGGTGGAGGGCAGGCAGGCGCGGCACAGGAAGAGGGAGGTGTTCTATGGGGATGTGACGCAGGAGATAGAGGTGAGCACGGTGGGGAGAGGTGAGAAGGGGCGGAACGCAGTGAGGAGGGATGCAAAGCGGGGCAGAGAGGTGGTGCCTTTGGCTAGAGGAGCGGCGCATCGAGAAAGGGAGCTGTCTGCGGAAGGAGATGGATGGATGGCATGTTCCTCTGCCAGATGCCCTTTCACTGTTTGCTTCGCTTTCAATGCTGCTCTCCTCTCCCTCCCATGACCCATGGCCTGCGCCTAACCGCTGTGGCTTCCTCTGCGCTTCCTTCTCTTCCCCTGCGCTTCCTTCTCTTCCCCTGCGCTTCCTTCTCTTCCCCTGCGCTTCCTTCTCTTCCCCTGCGCTTTCTTCTCTTCCCCTGCGCTTCCTTCTCTTCCCATTCCCGCTCCCCTCCCTGAAAGTTCAGATGGCGACAATACTGCGCGCCTGCCAGGTGCTCCCAGAGCCGCTCTTCGCAGCGGCAGCGCACGCGGGAGACGACGTGTTCCTCTGCCGCATGGCCTACCACTCGCGCTCCCTCACCTTCAAACGCCTGCCCGCGCCCATGCACGGGTCGGGGGGAGCGGGAGCCATGGGGGGGATGGGGGGGATGGGGGGGGTGGGGGAGATGAGGGGGGTGGGGGAGATGAGGGGGATGGCAGGGGGAGGTGGGGGCGGAACGGGCGCGCAGGGGTGTGGAGGCGATGGGGGAGGGAAGAGGAGGAGAGGGGAGAGGGATGAGGGGAGTCGAAAGGGTTTGCGTGGGAGTGGGGAGGATGGGGAAGGGAGTGGCGGGAGTGATGGTAGTGATTCTGGTGAGAGTGACAGTAGTATAGGGCTGACTGATTCTAGTGACGATGACAGCGATAATCTTAGCCTAGAGACCGAGGAGGATGAAGAGGAGGAAGAGGAGGACGAGGAGGAAGAGGAGGATTGGGGAGTGGAGGGAGGGAGGAGGTTGAGAAAGAGAACGAGGAAGGGCAGCAGACATAAGGTGTGTGTCGTGGGAGAAAGGAATATCTATTTGTTGGTGTCTCAAACTGTTGGAGTCACGGTTTAGAGCTTTGAGACGGGTATTAGAGGTGAGTTTATCCCGTACACGCCGGGATGACTTTTGAGTCGGCTCAAAGGCGTCCAGTCGAATCCACGCACTCTGCTTTTGAGAACTCTCAAAAGCAGTTCAACTTGAGTCGACGTTTGACTCTATTACTCAGCTTTTGTATTTAGCCATGGAAAGTGCAGCAGCAAGCTGCCTCCAACCTACACACTCATCCGGTATTCACCTCACCTACCTACAGTCACTCGCAAATCCTTCCTAATTCTCTTGTGTCTTGTGTTTTTACTAAGGAGGAACATGAGCTCGTGGTCCATGCACCTCTGATCACCATGGAACACAGAAAGGAGCCCATGGATCACTAGGAGAGAAGTCCTAGTGCTGTGCTTGCCTGAGGAACTTTAGGTTTGCTGTTCTCTTTCGCTGTTATCTTGAGCCAACTAACATTGAATCCTGTTTGCGTTGCGTGGACCTGGGTGGGTGTGATGGCTTCTCAATACACTCGCAGGCTTCCAAGCAGAAGAAGCGGCAACGGCTGGGCCAGGAAAATGGCTTTAAATTTTCACAAGGGGACGGGGACCATGGGCTCTTTTCCGTGTTCCATAGTGATCGGAGGAGCGCCGGAGGGCATTCTGCGATGCTGGTGGGAGAGAGAGAGGATGAGAGAGATGATACGTGGGATGAGGGGGATGGGGAAAGCGACGGGGAGGGGGATGAGGAGGGCGAGGAGGAGGATGGGGAGAGGGATGAGTCAGAGAGCTATGTGAGGAAGGATGGTGAGCAGAGGGGGAGGACGGTAGGCGGGTTGGCGGCGGTGCGGAGGGCGAAGAGGGCGCTGCAGCTGTCCCGTGTGCCGCCGTGCCTGCCGTGCCGCGAGAAGGAGCAGCAGGAGGTGGAGGGGTTTGTGGCGAGAGTGGTTGGGGGCGGATCTGGGGGAGGTGGATCTGGGGGAGGTGGATCTGGGGAAATTAATCTTGGGGGAGGCGCTTTCGGGGAAGATGGCGGGAAAAGGGCAGGAGGCGGAGTAGCGGGCACAGAGCAAGAGAAGGGGAACAAGGAGGGCATGGGTGTGGGAGGGAAGGGAGGCGGGCGAGGGAAGGAGAGGGGGAGGGGGAGAGGGAGAGGGAGAGCGAGTGGAAGGCGGAGAAAACAGGAGGAGGTGAGGGATGAGCAAGAGGCAGAGGGAGAGAAGCCGCAGGAAGGGCAGCAGAAGGGGCTGCAGGAGGGTCGCGAGGACGGGGAACAGCAGGAGGAGGGGGCAGGAAAGCAGCAGGTGAACTCACGGTGTTTGTACATCAGTGGAGTACCGGGCACGGGCAAGACAGCAGTGGTGGTGGAGGTGATGAGGCAGGCGAGGAGGAGCAGCAGGGTCGGGCGGCTGCCGCCTTTCCAGTTCGTCCACATCAACGCCCTGCGCCTGCCCGCCCCCACTGCCTTCTTCTCTGTAAGGGCGTGTGTGATTCGGCGCACATCCCAAAGTTTGTCTTTTTAGTCGGTTTTCACCCCTTTTTGGTTCAAACGTGCACTTGACTAACTCATTCACAGTACTACATAGAGGTTCGAGTCGCGGGTGCCAATTTCCAGCACATCACAACACTACATAGAGGGTCGACTATCGAGATTCGATGTTTGACGAGCCGCGACTAGGCCTGGTAGGTTATCCCGTGTAAGGGCTGTACTTGTTAAGTACACCTGTTCGCTTGGACGTACACCTGTTCGCTTGGACGTGCACCTGTTCGCTTGGACGTGCACCTGTTTGCTTGGACGTGCACCTGTTCGCTTGGACGTGCACCTGTTCGCTTGGACGTGCACCTGTTTGCTTGGACGTGCACCTGTTCGCTTGGACGTGCACCTGTTCGCTTGGACGTGCACCTGTTCGCTTGGACGTGCACCTGTTCGCTTGGACGTGCACCTGTTCGCTTGGACGTGCACCTGTTCGCTTGGACGTGCACCTGTTCGCTTGGACGTGCACCTGTTCGCTTGGACGTGCACCTGTTCGCTTGGACGTGCACCTGTTCGCTTGGACGTGCACCTGTTCGCTTGGACCTGTCGCTTGGACGTGCACCTGTTCGCTTGAACGTACACCTGTTCGCTTGGACGTGCACCTGTTCGCTTGGACGTGCACCTGTTCGCTTGGACGCGCACCTGTTCGCTTGGACGTGCACCTGTTCGCTTGAACGTACACCTGTTCGCTTGGACGTGCACCTGTTCGCTTGGACGTGCACCTGTTCGCTTGGACGTGCACCTGTTCGCTTGGACGCGCACCTGTTCGCTTGGACGTGCACCTGTTCGCTTGGACGTGCACCTGTTCGCTTGGACGTGCACCTGTTCGCTTGGACGTGCACCTGTTCGCTTGGACGCGCACCTGTTCGCTTGGACGTGCACCTGTTCGCTTGGACGTGCACCTGTTCGCTTGGACGTGCACACGTTCATGCTCAAATTCGAGTCCCGTCCAGAATTCAGAATCACACAAGTGCAGAGTTGTTGACTAGCAAAATTCACGAATCTGAATTCACGAAGCATAAAGAGGTCAAACTGTTGTTCGAACCTGAATTCACATCACACGCGCCCCAAGTCCCCTTCCCCCCCACCCCCTTCTCTCCCCCCCCCCCTTCTCTCCCCCACCCCCTTCTCTCCCCCCCCCCTTCTCTCCCCCACCCCCTTCTCTCCCCCACCCCCTTCTCTCCCCCACCCCCTTCTCTCCCCCACCCCCTTCTCTCCCCCACCCCCTTCTCTCCCCCCCCCCCCTTTCCCTGCGCGTGTCTCCTCACCCACTGCCTTCCTTCTTCTCTGTTGGTTTCTTACAATCCCCTCCCCACCAACACCCTCCTTCTCGGCCTCCTCCCTCTGCCACCAACGTCCTCATGGCCTTCCTGCCATTGCCCGGCATCACTGCAGGTTCTGTGGGAGGCACTGACTGGCCAGAGGGTGGCGTGGAAGAAAGCTCTTCACTCCCTCAACCTCCGATTTGCCTCCCCTCACCCCGCCTCTGCTCCTGGCGGGGTAAACAGAGGGAGTGGCAGGGGTAGAGGAGGTGGGAGAGGAAGGGGGGGTGGGCGGAGGGAGGGGGGACAGGGGAGAGGAGGCAGAGGAGGGGGGGGGAGGGGGAGGAGGTGGAGGAGGAGGAGGAGGGGGAGGGGGAGGGGGAGGAGGGGGAGGGGGGGGGAGGAGTGTGTGTGCTGCTGGTGGATGAGATGGATCAGCTCATCAGCAAGGACCAAAAGGTAGGGATGTTTTTGGAGCGGTTGGCAAGAATTGGGAAGGGTGGAAATGGTTCGGGGGGGCTGGGAGTTGTTGAAAAGGGTTGTGCTTGTGAGGACATGATGTTATGAGTGAGGCGTGCGTGGGTGTGTGGTGGTGGTGGTGGTGGATGAGCTGGTTGGTCCGCAAGGAGCACAAGCTGGGAAGGCGTCTCACCACGTGAGGCGTCTCACCACGTGAGGTGTGTGTGGAGGGTACGTCATATGCGTGGTGGTGGTGGTGGGTGAGATGAATGAGCATCGACAAGGACCAGACCATGGGATGAGATTTTGGAGTGGAGGGGTCGACCATGGGACTCAAGTGTCGAGGGAGGCGTTTCTGTGAGGAGGAGCAGGGGAGAGGAGCAGGGGAGAGGAGCAGGGGAGAGGAGCAGGGGAGAGGAGCAGGGGAGAGGAGCAGGGGAGAGGAGCAGGGGAGAGGAGCAGGGGAGAGGAGCAGGGGAGAGGAGCAGGGGAGAGGAGCAGGGGAGAGGAGCAGGGGAGAGGAGCAGGGGAGAGGAGCAGGGGAGAGGAGCAGGGGAGAGGAGCAGGGGAGAGGAGCAGGGGAGAGGAGCAGGGGAGAGGAGCAGGGGAGAGGAGCAGGGGAGAGGAGCAGGGGAGAGGAGCAGGGGAGAGGAGCAGGGGAGAGGAGCAGGGGAGAGGAGCAGGGGAGAGGAGCAGGGGAGAGGAGCAGGGGAGAGGAGCAGGGGAGAGGAGCAGGGGAGAGGAGCAGGGGAGAGGAGCAGGGGAGAGGAGCAGGGGAGGAGCAGGGGAGAGGAGCAGGGGAGAGGAGCAGGGGAGAGGAGCAGGGGAGAGGAGCAGGGGAGAGGAGCAGGGGAGAGGAGCAGGGGAGAGGAGCAGGGGAGAGGAGCAGGGGAGAGGAGCAGGGGAGAGGAGCAGGGGAGAGGAGCAGGGGAGAGGAGCAGGGGAGAGGAGCAGGGGAGTGTGTGTGCTGCTGGTGGGGGAGATGGATCAGCTGATTAGGAGGAAACTTTGAGTCAAAAGGAATTGTGGAGCGGTAGAGAAGGGTTTTATTAGGTTGTACAGCGTGCCTGTTGAGGTGCCAGGAGCTGCTGGGTGGAGAGTCCCACTGGGGACTGACTGGCCCTGGCCTTGTGCATTTATTCTCTTCTCTCTTCCTTCCATTCTTTCCATTCCTATGCACCTCTATGCATCCGTGTGCACTCCTGTGTAATCCTGTGCACCCCCGTGCAGCCCTGTGTTAATGTTCGCCCTGAATCTCACATTTGTACTTGTACTTTTTATATCCTAGTTTAGTGTAGTTCGCACTTTGTGTTTGGTTGGGTGTACACCCACATCCCAACCAAACACAAATGTAATCTCCAACCCACCAATTGGAGATTGCCTTGGGATTACCCTCAATTCCCTAGGATTGCCCCCAATTCCCTCCCCATCCATACCTTGATAATTTCTGATGTACTTAAAGAGCTTTGAGCTCACTAGGGATGAGCAAAGGGCGAACACGGACATGTTCGTGTTCGCCCCTTCTCGAACACGTCCTTTTGCCGAACCGAACAGTGTTCGGTTCGGCGAACAGTTTAGCCAAAAACAGGTGTTCGCTGTTCGCCTGTGGAGGCGTGTTCGGGCGAACCTCGAACACGTTCGTGTTCGACACGGGGCGTTTTGCAGCAGCGCCACGAACACGAACGTGTTCGGGCGAACATCGAGCACGTTCGGGCGAACGATTTAAGCTGAAAAACAAAACCTGTTCGGTTCGCCTCGAACGTGGTGTTTGCCACCTTGCTCAAGCCTAGAGCTCACTACTAGTGGATCGGGTCTAAGCTTAAACCTTGACACCCTGCACGCCCCTGCGCACCCCTCCCCAGGTGCTGTACAACATCTTCGAGTGGACCACCTGGAGCTCTGCACGCCTTGCCGTTATTGGTAAGGGCTTCCACTTTTGCTCAATCTTGCTGTTATTGGCAAGCGTGATTCATATTCTCCTTTTAAAGGCTATCCATAAATTGCACGTCTTGCTGTAGTAAGTCGACCACCTGCGCCCGCCCCACTTGTCTCTGTGTAGCTTCTCACGCATCGCGTGCAGCTCAGCAAACTTGCACTCGAGCATGAAGTTTCACCATGGGCCCTTTGCATCCTGCCTCTCCCCATTCTCTCTCGCCTTGTCTCCACCCGCTCACCTCTGTTCCCCCAGGGATCCCCAACGCCTGCTCCCCTTCCTTTCGCCTCGTGCCCTCTCCACCCTCTACACCTCCCCCCACACATCTTCCTCCCCGTTTCTTGAGCCCACTCTCACCACCCAGGCATACCCAACGCAGTAGGGCTTCCTAAACGACTGTTTAGCCAGCAGGAAGGGGCTGCACCGCTTGCACTCTGCACCTCCACCCCTCCCTCTCCCCCTTCTCTCTCCCCTCTCCCTCGCCTCTCAGGCATCGCCAACACGGTGGATCTACCACAGCGCCTGCTCCCCCTCCCTCTCCTCCTTGTGCCCATTCCACTCTACATATTCCTCCCTTTTCCTCCCACGCATATTCGCCAACCCAGTGGACCCGCCTGAGCGCCTATTGCCACTGACTCTCTCCGTGTGCCCTTTCCTTTCTACATACCCCATCCCTTACACTGCGTCACCCTCACCCCTGCCCCTTCCCCCCAGGCATCGCCAACACGGTGGACCTCCCGGAGCGCCTACTGCCGCGCATCGCCAGCCGCATGGGGCTGCACCGCGTGCCCTTTGCGCCATACACGCGCCACCAGATCGAGATGATCGTCGCCGCCCGCCTGCACGCATGCGAGCTCTTTGCACCGAGAGCCATCGAGCTGGCTGCACGGAAGGTGAGGCTCGTGGATTTCTATGGTGCGAGCTTGCCCCCTCGCCAGCATGCGAGCTTGCAAGGGTGAGCGTCCCCTTTGAGTGGTGCAAGGATGTTGTGAAGAGTGAGAGCCTCCTCTTGCAAGCAACCGGTTGCGAGGAGTTGGTGTCTCGCTGTGTCTTACCTCACTTGCGCTCCAATCTCCCTTTCACCCGACCTGCCACCTGCCACCTGCCATGTGCTGTCTGCATGCAGGGCAGTTGGATCTGGCGAGGTTCGATGGGCCCGTGGGACTCAAGGCGTCCACACGCCTCAACGTCTCTCTTATTCTCACTGCACCAGTCCTCACCTCAACCTGCACGAACCTCTTCTGCGCGAACCTGCCTCTCTTTACTCCCCTTCAACCGGCTCTCCTCACCCCTTCCCATCCTGAAGTGGCCCAGCTAGTTAGCTGGTTCACTTGTGAAAGATGAGGTCCCCTCTGCGATGAAAGATGAGGTCCCCTCTGCGATGAAAGATGAGGTCCCCTCTGCGATGAAAGATGAGGTCCCCTCTGCGATGAAAGATGAGGTCCCCTCTGCGATGAAAGATGAGGTCCCCTCTGCGATGAAAGATGAGGTCCCCTCGGCGATGAAAGATGAGGTCCCCTCTGCGATGAAAGATGAGGTCCCCTCTGCGATGAAAGATGAGGTCCCCTCTGCGATGAAAGATGAGGTCCCCTCTGCGATGAAAGATGAGGTCCCCTCTGCGATGAAAGATGAGGTCCCCTCTGCGATGAAAGATGAGGTCCCCTCTGCGATGAAAGATGAGGTCCCCTCTGCGATGAAAGATGAGGTCCTGGGATCAAAATTCCCTCTGCAGCGTATTCTGCCAGCCCCCGCTAAAAGGGGTTACACAGGTGCTCATCTGGGAGTGGATAGAACAACCTCGTTACCCAGCGAGGTGTGTAAACAAATGGGTAGGCGGGTTACGTCTGACAGCCTGGGTAACACCAAAGGGGTTCATCCCCCTACTTTACCTTTACCTTTACCTCACCCCTCCCTCCCTCCTGCCCTGTCTGCAGGTGGCGTCGGTATCAGGGGACGTGCGGCGGGCGCTGGAGATCTGCCGCAGGGCCGTGGAGATCGCCGAGGCAGAAGCCAGGCTGGCAGGGACTGGCCATGCAGCTGAGACGGGTTGTGCTGTCGTGGCAGGTCAGCCTGACGTGGCAGGTCAACCTGACGTGGCAGGTCAACCTGACGCTGCAGGTCAATCGGACGTGGCAGGTCAGAGGGGTCCAGGTGGTCAAGCCGGTGAGGCCATGACTGGTAAAAGGGCGACAGCAGGGCGGAGGGGAGTGATAGGTGGCGCTGGTGGGAGTGCTGAAGCAGTGCCTGCTGCTGCAGGGATGGGCACAGATGGTATGATAGCAAGCGGAAAAGGGTCACAGGTGGGGGCAGCGGCGGGAGCTGGTTCGGGAACAGAGTTGGGGGCGAGGACGAGAGCAGGTCTGAGTCTGGCGCCCGCGGCAAGCCTGGTTAGGGAGAGTGCGGTGGGCTGTGAAGGAGGAAGAGTGGAGAGCGGTTTGTCTGTTCTGTTTCAGAGGGCGGGGAGCGGGGATGTGGCGGGAGGGGAGAGGGATGCAGCAGGCGGAGTCAAAGGGAAAGAGGAGAATGGGGTGGGGAATAGGAAGGTTGGAAGAGGGGGTTCGAGCAGGAATGAAAGGAGAGGTAAGACACATGAAGCAGGTGGGGAGGGAGGGAAGGAGGTCATTGGAGGTGCTAGTGGTGTTGGGGGTGTGAACGGTGGTCACACACGTACAGCCACCCCCTCACGCCATTTGAGGCCCCTCAGAAAAGGGGTGCGAGGGGCAGAAGAGAGTGCGAGAGGAGTGAAGGGTGAGGTGACGAGGGAAATAGAAGAGGGACTGAGGGGACGGGCTGAAGGGGCGGAGGGGAGAAAGGAGGAGGTGGAGCCATCGGCAGTTGAGGTGCAAGCTAGGAAAGTGCGGCAAAACCCGTTGGTGGTACAGATAGAGCACGTGGAGGCGGCCATTCGAGAGATCTTCTCATCGCCCCACATCATGGTGCGTGCGTGTGCACGTGTGCGTGCGTGCGTGTGTGTGTGTGTGATGTGTGTGTGTGTGTGTGATGTGTGTGTGTGTGTGCGTGCGTCTGTGTGTGTGCGTGCGTGCGTCTGTGTGTGTGCGTGCGTGCGTGTGTGTGTGTGTGTCTGTGTGTCTGTGTGCGTGCGTGCGTGTGTGCGTGCGCGCGCGTGCGTGTGCGCGTGTTTGTGTGTGCATGTGAGTGTGTGCTGTGTGCATGGGTGCGTGTGTTCACTGTGCGTTTTTGTGTGTGCGTGCGTGCGGGCACGTGCACTTGCATCCGTGTGCGTGCATGCATGCGTGTCCATGTCCATTCTAATCTTACAACCTTTACTTTTCCTCCATGCTGTCACACTACATCTCTCCTGTACTCAGCTTTTCACGTTAAAGTAGAACATGTATATAGAAAGAACTTCGGAAGCAGCAAAAGGAAGGAAGCTCCCCGTTTAAGTGTTTTATGAGCTCCGGTGCCTTACTGCAACGAATTAACAACTCATCAACTCCTCATTCCCTGCTGTTTTCAACGCCCGAATGCATGCTTCCTTTTCTCGTCCTCCTCGCCCCTGTCAGATCGTTCGTCGCCTGTCAGCCGTTGAAAAAATATTTCTTGCTGCGCTCTCCTTTGACCTCCATCGATCCGGTGCTTCTGAATCCACCTTTGCACGGGTAGGTGGGCGCTATCAATGCTTGTTAAGGTGCCACGGTAACCCACCTGTTCGCCAAGGAAACCCACCTGTTCGCCAAGGTAACCCACCTGTTCGCCAAGGTAACCCACCTGTTCGCCAAGGTAACCCAACCTGCCTTTCATTTTTATCTCCTCTCTAGATCTCCCTCGTTATCATCCCTCCATATGCACCATCTGAGTCACTTCTAGCTGCAATCACCCTCTTTCTCCTTTTTCCAGTTTGGATAGTGAAACTCACTTGTCCTCATGGACGCACCTCACTTGAAAAGCTTACTCAAACCGGGAACGATAGTTTTAATACCTTTTGAATTTCATCTACAAATGAGACTCACTCGTCTAGTGTGGCACACCTCCTTCCTTGCTCCCATACTTCCCATCCCACCAAGGATAAAAAATACGACCGAAATTTTGTTTTTTCCACCGAATTACACGGTATCGTATTACACGTTCGTTTAAAACGGTTTAGTACGGTCATTAGTTAAATTTAAGTTTCAAATATAAATACGGCCGTTCTATCGGCCGAAATTTAAAAACTGGGACAGTGTATATTGATTTTCAACATTCAGACCCGTCGAGTTCAATATGGGGGATCTCGTGCGAAGTCTTGTCAGTCCCGACCGAATTTGGGTCGAGTCGCGTATGTCAGGAAAATGTCGAGGCGCGACATTTTGACATTTGACGAACGGGAAAGAAATGCGTTCCCGTCTCGCAGAGTCGTTGATGTCGTTCGCCGAATCGCGTCGACACCAATTCGACGAGGCGCGGCGATTTACACATTTGGCGAACTGGCCAACTTTCTTACCCGTTTCGCGTATTCGTCAACACGATTCGCGCTTTGCAATGTGTTTTCGCATGCAGTCGTTTGGCTGGAAACAATTGCATGCGATGCATTTCCAGCCAATAGCAAGCACCCAATCAACTTCCCTCTCATCTCAACCATACCCTCAACACCACTCGACAAAGCAGCACCAACAAGCTCTAAGAGGTACTTATTGGTAGTGAAAAACGTCACTCAACACATTCATCTTCTCACATTCAACACCACTCAACACCTCAGAACACCGATCTGCCCCACTTCAGCTTAGCTCAGACTTGATCGACGCCATGGTGTGATCGGCCTCAGAATATTGGGAGCATGTGATTAAGATTAAGAATGCAGAGGATAAGGTCGTTGGTGCTACATGCATTAATTGCAAGCTTCCCGCGGCTAATGCGACTAGGATAAAAGAGCACATTGTCGCCACTGCTAACAAGAAGGATCGGAACGTCGCGATGTGCAAATCGGAGTACGCTGAGCAGCTGTGGGCGACAGCCGATCAGGAGCTCTCATCCATGGGAAACGGTTCGGGAGGATCAAACGATGCCCCCACGTCCATGGTTGACCCTCCTCCGCCCGCACGTCGCTCTCGGCAGAGAGATATCCGTGACATGACGGATACAAATGCGCAGAATCGGCTAGATTACTGTCGGAGATACAGCTCTACCCTCATCATCTGCCTTAGTCCTCATGCTCTTCGTCCCTTAGCTCCTTCGGTTGCCTCAGCCACTCTCATATGAAAGTGACAGAACTCTCACCTCTAAGGTCCTCCCTGAGTGGTGTGCCACCTGCCTGCTCTGGTAAGGTGACAATAGTCCACTATACGAAAGGAAAACAACCAGAAAGCATCAGAGGTGTGTGTGAGAGTGAACTTACCTGACCCTGGCTCGAACCGTGCATTTCTCAATGTGCGGCTCGAGCCTGGGTTGGTTCGTTCTCATTGGTTGCAAGGTTTTCACCCAAGGTGCTCTCCTACCAACTTCGCGTCAATTTCCCAGCTCCCACCTACCTATCCTCGAATTTGCAAACACAACATAGCTACACCTCCACTACACCACCATGATTCTGGCACCTTATATGCACAACCGTGCATATTCGGTGACAGCTGTCGGAGATACAGCTCTACCCTCATCATCTGCCTTAGTCCTCATGCTCTTCGTCCCTTAGCTCCTCCGGTTGCCTCAGCCACTCTCTGCCCCCTCCTGTGCCCGTGCTCGAGCGGCTTGAGCGCGGGTCACAGGACCAGTACGCTGAGGCCCGGTCCCTCTGATCACTGTAGTGTTCGTCTGATGTTCTCTCAGCTGCGCTCCGGTGTCGTTTTCCAAGACCAGCACCCCTGAGGGGCGTACCTCCTTGACTTTCGAGCGGATGGTCCCCAACCCCACGTGAAGGGTGTCCTACTTAGCCCTCTTCAGATAGACTTCCTGTCCTTCGCAGACATCCTTTGCCATTCTTCCCTCCCCTTTGTGTTGCCTCTGTTCGTATCTTCTTGCGTCCCTGAGCTGCGCGGTGTGCAGATTCTCCAACGCGGCTGGCATCATGTAGCGCATGTAGCGCGCCCTCACCTCGGACAGGGCTACCCAGTTCCTGATCGTGCCCGCTGTCACTGTATCTGTCAATACTCGTGGTGCTCCCACTGGCAGAATCGGCTCTCGTCCGAACAGCAGGCTATACGGGGAGTGATCCTTCAACGCTGCCTGCTTCCCGAACCTGTACCCAGCCGCGATCCAGTCCAACTCCTCATCCCAATCCCTCTTCCTCTGCTCCCCGTAGGCCCACAGCCCCCGCTTGAAGGTTTGCACGGCTCTCTCAGTCGGCCCATCGCTCTGCGGGTGATAGCGGGAGGTCTTTCGGTGCATGATGCCAGTCTCCGCCAGCAGCTTCTTGAACTCCCCCTGGAACTCTGTTCCCTGGTCTGTGAGTACCTCCCCGCATGCTCCAAATCGGCACACTACTTGCGCTTTGAAGGCTGCTGCAATGTGCCTCGCGCTCTTGCTAGGGATCGCTCGCACCTCCAGCCACTTGCTCACATGCTCCACCATGAACACGATGTACTGATTCCCGCTTCGACTCAGTGGCAGCTCTCCCGCGAGGTCCAGGGACCAACGGAACCCTAGTCCGCAGATTGGCAGTGAGTGCAGCTCTGCTTTGGCCTGCGTCAGGTTTGCTTTGCTCCTCTGACACGCCTCGCACCCCTCCACCCACTCTTTTACTTGCCTGCGCATCCCTTCCCACCACCAGCCCGTCTTCAGCAGGTGCACGGTCCTCTCATGCCCGAAGTGCCCCAGCTTGGTGTGCACTTCCTTGATCACTGCTTCACGGTCCTCGGGCACTGGCACCAGCTTCCACCCATCCTCCGTCTTAATCTGCAGCTGCTGCTGATACCACCTGTAGTGGTGCCCTCGTGCCCTTACTCTCTCAGGCACCATTTCATCCTCCTCGGTTTCTCCCTTCACCCATTGCATTGCCTTTGCATCGAACCAGATGTCGGTTGGCCCCTTACTCCCCTTCGCCCCCGGCTGCTCCACCTCTCTTGCCAGTAAGATCAAGGTCCGTGCCGGCTCTTGCTCTGTCTCTTCCGTCCCCAGGGTGGCCTGTTTCATTTCCAACGGCGGTGGATTGCGAGAGAGGCCGTCAACGTGCTGCAGCGTCTTCCCCGGCCTGTGCCTGATCTTGAAATCATACTCCTGCAGCTTCACCGCCCACCGCGCGTTCCTGCCTGTTAGCCCTGGTGTAGTCATCAGCCAGGTGAGTGGCTGATGGTCGGTGACTAAGGTGAATTCTCGGCCCTGCAGGTATATCCGGAAATGCCCGACCGCCCACACTGCCGCCAGCCCTTCCCCAATGTATGAGCTATATTGTGCTTCCGCCGGGTTGCAGCTCCTGCTGGCGTAGGCCACCACCTTCTCCACTCCCTCCACCTCCTGGCATAATATTGCCCCCATCCCTTGGCTGCTCCAGTCTGTGTAGAGGATGAAGGCCTGGTCCGCTGCTGGCAGCCGCAGCACTGTCGCTGTCTTCACGGCTGTCATTAGGTCTTGCAGTGCCTGTCTCTGCTCCTCTCCCCACTCCCATGCCTTGTCCTCCCGCAGCATCCCATTTAGTACTGTCGCTCGTTTGCTGAAGTTCGGCACGAAGCGCCTGTAGTAGCTGAGGAAGCTCAAGACCGCACGCAGCCCTGACTTGTCTCTTGGTTCCCTCAGCCTGTCCAGCACTTGCACCTTCGCTTGCTGGATACCAATCTGCCCCCCTGTGACCTCATACCCAAGATACTGCACTGTCCGCTCCCCCCACCTGCACTTGTTGGGATGGCAGATGAGCCCTGCCCCTTCTATGGCGGTCAAGGTCCTCTCCACGTCCTCCAGGTGCTGCTGTTCGGTCAAGCTGAAAATCACGACATCATCAATATAGCACGCCGTGTGTTCTATTCCCCGCAGCACCGCGTCCATGACTCTCTGAAACACCGCGGAGGCGTTCCTCAGAC